GGGGAGAAGCGCTGGTTCCCGGGGCGGGGCGGATGTGCCGGTCCCCGGGAGGAAGGGGGTGACCCTGTTCGGGTGCTGCGGAAGGAAGGTGTCCTGGGGGGTCGGGAATCCTGGGGAGTGGCAGCCAGTCCCGGTGGTAGCCGGTGGTAGCCAGGGATGAGGAGGTCACCTGGGGAGGGACAGCCTCGGTCCTAGTGTCACCCAGAGAGGGGCAGCCCCCAAGTACCAGGGTCACCGGGGAGGAGGAGCCCCTGGTCCCAGGGTCAGTCCCCCCCTTTTTCCACGCGCCCCGGGGCTCGCGGCGCCCCGTTGGGTTCGGCCGTTCGCCGGTCGCTGCCGCGTAGCGATGATGGCTGGATGGCTCTGGCCCGGTCGGAGGAGGCCGAGCGCCGCGGTCGGTATCGGGGAGCCGCCTGGGTGTCACCCCTACGCCTGCCAAGCTGAGGGCGAGTGCTATCGGCGCTGCCCCTCTCCGGTTCCAAGCGCTCCGCTCCTTCCCGTGGGCATTTGGCGTACCAACGGTGCCGAACCGCCACGGACTGTCGTTATATCTTCGCCGTGTTACTTCTTTAGCAGATACTTACGTTTAATGTCACGCTGCTAAAGGCTCTATCAGCATTCCCGAGTTAATTTCCGTGCGCGGTGTTCCATGGGTGGTTTGGAAGGGTTCAGGGTTTTGCTGGGAATATCGCTGAATTTGAAAGGGTGGTGTCTTAAAGTTTGTTTTAATTGGTTTATCCACTATCCAAATTTATTATCCACAGTACGGGTGGGATCACTCGGTTCACAAAAGGAAAAGGCTCCCACCGGTGAAAAGGTCTCTGGTGTACTACGTGAAAGGGAGAGAGGTCCGGATGCAGAATGAGTCCAGCTACCACCGCTTGTTACATGGATACGCAGCCCAGCAGCTCCCCAGCCTCCTGAAGGAGAGGGAATTTCACCTCGGAACACTCAATAAAGTGTTTGCCTCCCAGTGGCTCAATCACCGACAAGTGGTGTGCGGGACAAAATGCAACACGGTGAGTGGCACCCCTCGCTGTTTCCCTTTCCTCTGTTAATTATTCCACCTCTACCCTCAAAAGTTGCTTATCATAATCAAAGTGTGTGGATGGCCAGGGAAAACATTAGGAATTAGGAGTGGAGTCAAAATCGCGCCCAATTAACTGAACGAAAGCAATGCTTAAGGACGATCTTTCCTCATCTGAAAATGTTGCACTGTAATTCCCAGTAAAGCACTTGTGTGATCTGTACAGAGTGATTTACCCCTGGCTGTGGGATGAGGAGCAACAGTGGGATTGGATCTTTCCTTTTGTCCTGCAGATGAGAAGCTATTCTAATGAACAGATATTAGTGTCTCTAATGGTGGCTGTCAGTGCTTGGCCGAACTTGCTGTTAAGGTTTCTTTTTTCTGTTATGTTCAGTCTTACACAGTTTGGTTTTACATATGGTTCTATGCTGATAGCTTTTAAAAGTTGTTCAAAACCTGTGGTTAAACTCCAGATATTTGTCAGAACAGCCAGAAATGTTCTGAACTTTTTTAAAAAATAAATTCCAGATTTTCAGTGTTATCCTTTGCTTGTTGACTTTATAATTCTTCACTCTAAAACTGTCTCCAGTGCTTGAATAACTTCTCTGGTTTATATATTTTTACATGCTTCTACAAAAACTAAAAGCTCCTCAGATTCTTGAAGTGATGCTTTCAAACATTTCATGGGAATATTAAAATGGTGTCCTGTGGGACAAGTAAATGGAGGAGATCATATTTCTTAGGTAATATTCTCTCTGCTAGAGTTATTAGCCCAAGTTCATTGGCTGAGATAGCAGTTTCATGCATGGAGTTGTGATTGAATTAGTACAAAATCCTACACTGCAGGTTGCTTGGTGCCACAGAAGGGAATCAAGGGTTACAAGGAATGAATGCATAGGTGAAGCAGCTCTTAAATCTCAGAGTGTATCAGTTACTTCTTTGCCTCAAGATCTTTCTGTGCCATGCCAAAGCCATGCTTAGTGGTCTGATCAGCAAGGGACAGTGGGCTGTTTTTTTTTCCATTTTGGATGATTAAACATTCTGAGATGGTCTGTTATTATTCACAGTTGCACAGGGGGAGATTTTATGCAGTAGCTCTTAAGATGCGGAGCCTAACTGTATAAACAAAGCAATCTTTTAGCAGCAATAAGCTCAAAATAGAATCTCTCTGCCTACTTTCTCCACATATGTTCATCTCCTCAGCCAGTCAGCAGCCAGAACTGGTTGTGGTTGTAGAGCTGCTTACAGGAGACAAACTCCTGCTGAAATACAAACTCCCAAAAATCTTGCTTACTCTAGCAAGATGACTGTATGTTTTATAGAGTTGCAATAATTTTGCTGTGTTCTTTAACTTTGGTAGCTCTGGCACATCTGCTGCGAAGATAAATGGACAAGTGGGTTGTTAACGCAACCTTGCAGATAATTGTTTGGGACCAAACAATCATGGAGCTGAAGAGGGATTCAGCAGTATTGTTGTTCCCTTTGCACATGCTGCAGCCAAGGGTGCTTGTCCACAGCCAGACTTAGAGACGGACCTTCTCTGTCATTAAGCAAAATAGAATGATTGCAGAAAAAGTCCCTGCAGCATTGTGAAAGATCATATATGAGTTATGAGTGCTGTAATAACTGTACGTTGTTTGCTTTGTGCTCACATTTGAACAAGTGAAGTGTTAAACTCTACACTCTAATTATGAGATTTTTCTCTCTCATCTCCTGAGTGTGTGACCTATTAATGAAAAATGCCTTTGCTTATTCTCATATGCTGAAGTTGTGGTATTCAAGCTGGGACTAAATCGAAAACACCTTGGTTGACTTCAGCAAGGTCTGCTGCATTGGAGTTGCACTTAATTAAAGTTAATGCAAGAGAAGAATACAAACTATAGCAGTTAGTTTAATCAGGGCTTGACTGTGGCACTGAGTGCTTTTAGCATTTAATTTATAAATTGCCCATCACTGTGCAGTGCCAGGAGGATTCACTGTTCTTAATGACGAAACAAAAATATGCTCTTGTCATAGAGGAGGAGGTTTGGGTTTAGTCACTTGGCAGTACTAGTTACTATAAAAATACTGAAGAAAATATGGAGCTCTCTGTCAATAACTCTTTTTTGATGAATAATATGATTAGTTTAATTATGTGAAGTAACTTTTTATCCTTAAAACTATTCCAGGGTGTGAAATAACTTTATTCTTCTCCAGTGAATCATGGTGCTCATAGTTGAGCAGCTGTAAATCAAATGTTTCAGATATTTGTGTTCTGCAGAGGTGCATACTTTTTCTGGTAGATTTAGAATTATGGGAACTATTACAAGCATACAGGCACATAGAATTTCAAGGGAAATCACACAGACCTTTCACCTGAGTTTTGCAGAGCCAGGATTCCTGTTTGTAAGAATTTCCTAGACCTTGCATGTATCAGTTGCTTCTTTGCCTCAAGATCTTTCTGTGCCATGCCAAAGCATGTCTCCTTAATGTTTTTCCAATTAAAATGAATGAGCAGGGAACTTCTAAGCGGTGCAGATATTTAGGTTATGTTCTGATAGGTACCAAAATTACCAAAGACTGATGCTGTGAGGATATATAGAAGAAACAGTCTGTCACAGAAGAAGATCTGTAATCTGCAGTCTTCGCTTCAGGCTTCATTGAGAAACTCATGAGACTTAGGTAGGAGACAGGCTTACGGCAAACAAAAACATAGAATACAAGATTCCTGTGTTTTGGGGTTTTTCTTCCTCATTACTGTTTCAGGAAATTATGAAGACTAAAATAATGTCTAAAAAGAGGTTTCCGTAATTTTTCAGCTTCCTTTGCTCTGTTTGCTACATGTACATGTTCAGGATATAATCCTTTCACTAATTGCAAAGTTAAAGATGAAAAACTATAATAGCTATAAATAATTACCTAAATAAAATAAGCTAATTCTTTTCCAGTTGCTTGAGAATACATTTACTTGGAATCTAGTTCAGTTTTTTTTTTTGTTTTTCCAGGCAGGCCAAATAGATGCATTTGTGTTTAAAAACTTCCTTTCTGAATGCTCTCTCCTGTTTTCTCAGGCAGTTCTTCCAAGGCATCCATAGGTTGGTTTCTGAATGCTGGCTGAAACCTTTTCTCTCTTCAGCAGATTGCTGTGTTGCCTTGGCTGACCTGCTGTAAATCACCAGCTCTCATTTCCTATTAGAGACTTTAAACTTGTTCAAAGAGATCCTACTTTGTTCTGTGCATCTCATACAATTAACAACCCTGTCTTGTACTCCTGGGATTGTGGTGAGCATACAATGGGAAGTTCCTTTTCTGTCTGTGAATGTGAACTGTCTATGGGGAAAGTTATTTCCCCCTGCTTTGCACGTTAATGTATCTTCTGGCTTTGCGTATGTGAGGAAGCATCAAGATGACAGCACATTTCTCATCACTTGTTGGGAATGAGAAGTCTCCTCTAGTTTGTAGCTCTACTCAAAGTCCAGCGAGCAGTGACCGAAACTTAGCATTAATAAACCTCTGATGCCTGTAGCTGATATTTCCAGTCACATGCCTTTCAGTAGCTTGTGACCAAATAGTCAGGTATTGGTTTCTTGTCTCAAGAGTATTTGCTTTTCTGTCGACTGCATGTGATACTCATGTCTGCCTGGTAGTGTCTGTGCCAGGTATGGTGAGAGTAGGGATGCCCTTTAGCAGATGTCTGTCACTTCTCCATTCTTTGCCATCTGTCAGCATGTATTAGCTGTCTCCTAGCCCCCTGAAATTAAACACAGAGGGTAAAATGCACATAGAAAATGATAAATGTGATTTTGACACTGCACAAATGCAGTAACAACAAAGTCTGTGTCCATTAGCTGGTTGTGTTTCAGAGTTTCACAGAAAGGTGGAGTGCCTGATTTCATGGTCTTGTCTCTGGAAATGTGAATTCAAAGTCAACCAACTTGCTTGCTGCTTTTACCTCTCCTCACTTCTCAGGTGGTTTCTTTATATTGTGGATTGTTTTGCTTTTGACCCTTTCAATAAGGATGTGTAAGGCCATTGTGCACTTGAGTTGACTCTACTGCATAACCTGTAAGTTTTGTGCTAAGATTAATGCATGTTAGTGTGGCTAATGTAGTTGCCATTCCCTGCGATGCTGGAAAAGTCATGGCAGTCAGATGAAGTCCCAGGTGACTGGAAAAGGGAAGCCATTGTACCTATCTTGAGAAACAGTAGAAAGAAGAATTCCAAGAACTACTGACTGTCAGCATCCCCTCTTTGCCTGGGAAGATCATGAGATCTGGTTTCCTCCTAGAAGCTCTGCTAAGGCACGTGGAGAACAGGGAGGTGAATTGAGGCAACCAGCATGGCTTCACCAAGGGTAAGTCCTGCCTGACAAGCCAGAGGCTTTCTGTGATGCAGTGTCTGCAGGAGTAGACAAGGAAAGGATCTCAAATGTCATTTGTCTGGACTTTTGTACAGCCTTTGACACGGTCCCCCACAACATCCTTCTGTCTAAATTAGAGGGAGATGGATTTGATGGATGAACTGTTGGGTGGTGAGGCATTGGCTGGATAACCACAGAGTACTGGTCTCAGAGTCCCAGTGGACATCAGTGATAAGTGGAGTCCTTCATGGATCCATACTGGGACCAGTGTTCTTTGATACGATCATTAATGGCATAGGGATCAAGATCAGTGGCATGGGGATCAAGTGCACTCCCAGCAAGTTTGATGGTAACACCAAGCTGATTGGTGCTTTGACACACCTGAAGGATGGGATGCTATCCAGAGGGACTGGACAAGCTCAGGGAGTGGGTCCATGGGAACATCATAAAGTTCAAGGCCAAGTGCTGGTGCTGCACCTGGGTGAGAGCAGCCCCCGGTATCAGCACAGGCTGGGCATGAACAGACCCAGGGCAGCCCTGCCCAGAAGGACCTGGGGGTACTATGGGTGAGAGGCTGGACATGCCCTGGCCATGGCACTCACAGCCCAGAGAGCCAAACGTGTCCTGGGCTGCATCCAGAGCCCCGTGGGCAG